AGGCGCACATCCCCTTCCAAGGTGTCTCGCCACCCGTGGAGGACGGGGGCGGGACACCGAGATCCTCAGGGCAGGCCGAGATCCTCAGGGCACGCGCCTCACGCGGGGCCGAGGGGGGGGCCGGGCCAATCGGCGCGGGCGCAGCAAGCCGCGCCCGCTGTGGGAAGGCGGGCGGGGGCCCCGTCTTCCCGGGCGCCGCTGCCGTCGGGAGGCCCATCGGCGCGCGCGGCGCCAGCGCGCCCCAGGGGGGAAGACGGCCCGGGGCTCCATCTTCCCAGCTGCCGCCGCCGCGGGGCACGCCTCGCGCAAGGTTGCCGGGCGAAGCCTCTGGCATCCGCACTCCTGAGGCCACCGGGCAGGGCGCCGGCGCTGGGTTGCCATGCCACGGCTCCAGCGACCGCCCCGCCGGGGCCGCCTGGCGGAGCGCCGGCGCTGGGATGTCAAGCCACGGATCTGGCAACCGCCCTCCTGGGGCCGACGGGCATTGCGCCGGCGCTGGGTTGCCAAGCCACGGCTCTGGCAACCGCCCTCCCATGGGGCCGCTGGGCAAAGCGCCGGCGCTGGGTTAGCAGCGCTCCTAGCGCCAGCCGCACCCCACTCGAGGCTACGCGAGCGCCCCCGCCTACTCGGGCCGCCCAGCAGGCGTGGAGGAGGCTCGCGGGCGGCCCACGCATTGCCTGAGCGTGGCCTGCCGTTTGGCCTCCGCCGCGTGGCGGGCGCCGGCCACCTCGCGCCACGCCCCGGGCGCGGCACGGCCCCCCGCGGCGCCACCATCGCCGCCTCCTGGCGGCATGCCGCTGGGAGCTGCGGCAGCCCCAGCCGCAGCGCCCAGGTTCCCATGCGCCGCAGCGTCGACGGCACGGCGGCGGCAGGAGCGCCAGCGTGCGCCAGGCGTCCCAGGCGGGGCGCCAAGGGCTGCAGGAGCCCCAGCGCGTGCGGCCCCGGTGACGGCGGGGGCAACGGCCTGCACGGAGGCGGCGGGACCTGCCGCGACCGCCGCCGCACCTGCGGCAGGGGCCTCCGCAGCAGCCCCACGCACCGCAGCGGCGACCAGCGCACGCAGCTGCTCGACGAGCGCCGCGGCCTCGCCGCCGCCGCCGCCGCCGCCACCGCTGCCGCCTCCAGAGCCACCTCCGCGTTGCCGCAGCACCGACGTGGCCGCCGCGAGGGTGGCGAAGGCCGCGTCGACCCCGGTTTCGGCGAGCTCCGTCGGCGGTGTTCGGGCAGGAGTCGCATCCGCCTGCACCGCCAACAGCGCCGCGTCGGCCAAGCGCAGCGCCTCCTGCGTTTTCGCCGCCTCGGCCTCGAAGTGCACGACAGCCCGGCGCGCCTCCGCCAGGTCGTCGGTGGTCGCCTGGACCTTGACCGCCGCCGCGTTTTGCGAGTCCGCGGCGGCCTGGGCCCAGACCACCCATGGCCGAGATGCCTGGGCAGCCAGCTCCAACGAGTGGATCTGCCGGTCGTATTCTGCCACGTCCAGCTCCGCCGCACAGCGCTGGGCAGCCGTGCGGCGCTCGCGCCAATAGCGTAGCTCCCGCTGCGTTGGACTCAACTCGGTGGCAGGGGCGGTCGGCGCGGTGCCAGCCGCCGCAGGGGGGGGGGCATCGCCACATCGCCAGGCGGCGCCGGCGGCACCGGGGGCAAAGACAGCAGGCGCTGCATCCCTGGCCGCGTCGGAGACCTTGCCAGGCGCCTGGCCACCACGCTGCTTGGCTGCTGTCTGGGCGGCATCGGCGATCCGCTGCGGCGCAGGCTTGCCACAGCCCTGGCAGCGCACGCGGCAGGCCCAGTTGCCCGCGTGCCCGCATGGGCATCCCCAGCATGGCTCCCGTGGCCCTGGGAGCACCGCTGGATACGTCCTGCCCGCAGCCTGCGAGCGCCCGCCGTCAAAGCTGCCTCGCATCCGGCCCCCGCCGGGCGCGCGGATTACCTTGCGCGCGAACCCGGGCGCCCAGGCCAGATGGCTGCTCCTGCCCAGCTGGCTTGACATATATGTTACTTGAGCCAAAATGGCCTGAGCCAAAATAGTTTTAGGCAAAATGGCTACACCCCACCCCCTCAGCACCTGCACAAGCGCCAATCACAAGGGGCTCCGCCGCTAGAAGTGAAGGAGGCTTCTGACACACAACACACACACATGTAAACATATGTATAACCTCATCAAACTATTAAGGACCCCCCCCGGGATTATCATTAACACCGCAGCGTAATTAAATAATTATGGGGGCCGGTTGACGCCGAACGATATAGTTAGTTACGCACATGAACGAAAATGAAAAACGCCCTGGCTCGGGTGATATCCCAATTGGAATTGGAATAAGAATAGGAAAACGAATGAAGTACGAGTAAGAAGACTAAGACTAAGCTACGAATAGCAAGAACAACTAATAAGACAACTATTAAGAATAGTGATAAGAGTAAGAGTGACAATACAAATAATAATAAGGAAAAGGGTAATAATACGAATAAGAATGGTAATACTATTCATAGTCCGAATAAGAATACGGATAAAAATAGGAGTAATAATCATAAGAAGAATACTAATCATAATACTCATAACCATAATCATAATAAGACCACGAATGTTCTCATTATCTTCACCATCCTTGTCCTATACGATTTGTATTACCACCCCTGTTCAAACATTGTTTTTTCCCCGGCCGTCGTGTGGGGGTCGTGCATCCGAGGATATCGTCCCAGCCACGCACGGCGCGAAATCTTAGCACCGCACCCGCACAAAATAATTACGACAGCTTGTCAAAAAAAGACAAGAAGTACAATAAGACAAATAATCATAATAAAAAAAACATGCAACTAACAATAAGACTACGAATAATAATAATGATAAGGAGAAAGATAAGAATAATAATGACAATCGTAATACGAAAAAACCTAAGCATAATAATAAAGATAAGCGTAAGAGTAAGAATAGTGATAAGAGTGATAATAAGTAATACTAGTTCCCTACCTAGGCTCTGCCTAGAAGGGTTCTTACCCCGTGTGCTTAAAGGGCCGGGCAGTGCTCCCCGCCCCGGGCGGTTCCCCCAGCATCCGCCCCGCGGTTCCCCCAGTGACGTCCCCTTAGCTTAGCGTTGCTTATCTCATCTTAGCTTAGCCTAGCTTAGCTTAGCCTAGCCTAGCTTAGCTTAGCTTAGCTCAGCTCAGCGCAGCATTAGCATAGCATACCTTAGCATAGCATATCATAACATAGCATAGCGCAGCATAGCATAGCGCAGCATTGCATAGCATAGCATAGCATAGCGCAGCATAGCATAGCATAGTATAGTTTAGCTTAGCATAGCACAGCGCAGCATAGCATAACATAGCACAGCATAGCATACCCCCAGTCCCCTGGGAGCTTTAGCTTTAGATTTAGCTTTAGCTTTAGCTTAGCGTTAGCTCAGCTTTAGATTAGCTTTAGTTCAGCTTTAGCTTAGCGTTAGCTTTAGCTTTAGCTTTAGCTTAGCTTTAGCTTAGCTTTAGCTTGGCTTTAGCTTAGATTTAGCTTAGCTTTAGCTTAGCTGTAGCTTAGAGCTGTAGCGTAGCTCTAGCTTAGCTTTAGCTTAACTTTAGCTTAGCTTTACCTTAGTGTTAGCTTAGCTTTAGCTTAGCGTTATCTTAGCTCAGCTTTAGCTTGACTTTAGCTTAACGTCAGCTTAGCTGTAGCTTAGCTTTAGCTCAGCTTTAGCTTAGCTTTAGCTTAGCTTTGCCTTAGCGTTAGCTTAGCTTTAGCTTAGCTTTAAGCTTAGCTTTAGCTTAGCTTTAGCTTAGCTTTAGCTTAGCTTTAGCTAGCTTTACTGTTACTACTAATGCCGCTTTCCTAGGGGCTCCAACTCCTAGGTAGGGTCGCACTGGGATAATTTCAAACATAAGAATCATAAGCATAATAACGATACGGATAACAACGTTAATCCTAATAATATTACGAAGAAGAAAAATAGAAATAAGAATGATACTGAGAAGATACAAAATGATAGTTATGAGAGAATAAGAACAACAATAAGGATAAGAGTAAGAGTAAGACAAATCAATAAGAGTAACAGTAATAGTAAGAGTAAGAATAATAATAACATCAACGCTAAGAATCATACTCCGAATAATGATACTGAGAATAATAAGAAAAATCAGACTAAGAGTAATAATAGAAATACTGATAGGAAAAATAAGAATAATCACAATTAGAAGAATAGGAAGAATAAACATAGGAATCCGAATAGTAAGCATAATAATAATAAGAAAAAGAGCTTGGCCTCACTATCTTCATCATCCTTGTCCTATACGATTTGTATTACCACCCCTGTTGAACAATTGTTTTTTCTCGGCCGTCCTGTGGGGTAGTGTATCCGAGGATATCGCCCTCGCCACGCAAGGCGCGTTATCTTAGCACCCACACCGCCAAAATTTATCACTCCCCATTTAGGCACGGACGGCTCCTCTTCAAAACTGGGCTCTCCCTTGCGTGGGACTTAATGTGATTATTGTTGGCGTTGGCGTTGTTGGTGTTTTTCATGTTGATGTTGTTGTTGTTGGTGTTGTGATTGGCCTTGTTGTTCTAGATGTATCTTACTGCTGGCATTATTGTCGTTGTTCGTGCTGGTGCCGTGCCGTAAAGGAGTCTTGAGGAGGAGGAGGAGGACTTGTTCTGTTTAGCTGGGCCAAGACCTCTTGACTGAGACCTTGGCCCTCGGCTTGATCCGTAATGGCGAATAAGAGCCAAAATATTGCGAGAATGTCTCAGGCGGTGTGCTTGTGTCGGCGAGCAGACTCGTCTGCGTTCACATGAGGGTGCGAGGTGCCAGGGCAACGTTTCTGGGGTGCCGGGTGCGTCATACTTTCGCCGGAGAGGGGGGGGTCTTAATTGCTTCTCCAGGTTATATACGTGTAGATAAGCACCCCATGCGTATACAACAACCAGACATCAACGTGCTGCTCCTATCTACAGACGAGCAACTCTGTGGACGGAGTGCGCCGCATTGGTGAGCAGAGGTAGGGCGAGCAGC